CCTACACCCCCCCCCCCCCACTTTTAGGGAGGTAAAAAAAGAAAAGAAAAAAAATGATAACCTAGAACGCCTCAAATGTTATTTTCGCGGGGGCATGCCCTCGGAAAAATTTCGGACCCACTAGGATAGTGTTGTCTCGATCGACCCAACTTTCGGCCTCCACCCCACACCCCCTTTTGGACATCTCTGGATTCGCCCCTGAAAAGTTAATGAGAAAGTTTCTGATGTGATGTGATGATGAATGAATTTTATTAAAGAGATTTCTTTTCTGCCATCTAGAGGTACTATTTCCTCAAATTTTCGCACCTCAGCCCAACCATGGTGGGGCTGAAGTGGGTATGGACTCTTCCCCATCCCGCTCTTATAATGGCCGAAAATGCTTCCGACGGCTATGTAGTACTCGAAATACAATAATATTTGAAGAAGACATACGATAAAGAAAATGATATTAATGACGATGTTAATAATCAGATGATGATGATAATTATGACGATGCAATGACGATGATTGTAACGTTTTTCTAAATTTTTCTTTTTGGTTAAATTCATAAACATTCTATTGAATCAATAATGGAGTTATTTCCTCTGATGATATAACCATGTTCATGTTATAACGATAATGATAATATAAAAAGAATAAAGAATAATTACGCTAATAGATATGATGGAAACAGGTTAATATAATCCTTATCAATTAACTGGTAGAATGCAACAGGGCCTGCAGCAACGTTCAGCTGTTCGTCACATTAGTTCGGAAGTGATGATGTTTTATCATCTCGGATATTGTTTATACAACTGACGAGACGAAGCACGCAGTTGCGTAGGTGTTGATAACCCCGTGAGCATACGCGACGGGGTCACTGTAGCATCTTTGGGATTGTATTAATTACCCAACAGATATAACAATTATGTCCAAAGTTTTATCTAATAGGCTACATTATAGGCTTAATTCTGACATAATACGTCTCAACATTAATGCTATGAAAATTATGTTGAACAAGGTTAGTTCAAACATAGTCGGTATAAAAAAAAAACAGAAAGGTATGAGCTCACATTTTTTGTCCAAATTTTATCCCCCTCCCATTTCCGGTTGTTTTGTGTCCTGTGGCACATACGGATCACAAAAGTACTATCCACGTTTCTAAATGCAACGTAAAACTCTGTTAAGCTTAAATAAGTAATTAATTCAGACACTACTGTATAGTATAGGCCTATTAAAGGAGGCTGAATTCTGGCATAATTTACATTTAATGCTATGGAAATGATATTCAACACGGTATAATCGGCATTTTCATGGATCCTTGGGTACATTAGTGCAGTTGTTCCCAACCTGGGGTCCACAGACCCTTTAGGGTTCGCCAAGTCAAAAGGGTCCGCGGCTCAGCCCCAACCATTTTGGGGCTGAAGTGTTTTTTTTTTTGTTTTGTTTTGTTTTGTTTTGTTTTTTCGAATGACATGATCCGTCACTGTTTAACGCTTTTTGTCGAAATTGGACGATTTTTCGACTCCCATTTTCCGGATTTTTGTGTTCTGTGGTACCTACAGATCACAACAGTATGCCTATTATAGGCATGCATGTTTGCAAATGCCACAACCAGCTTAAATAATATCATTAATTCAGAGGATATCTAATTAATACACTATAATTCACAGTAATTAATGCTAGGATAATGATGTTGAACACGGTTAATCACATTATCATAGGTATTTTCATACCATAGTGTGGTTTGGTATCATAGTGTAAGAATCAGTCGAAAAGCGACTAGGCCTAGGTGAAAAATAGCCCAATTTTGACAAAAACGCTAATGGTTTTTGTGGAAATTGGACATTTTTGTAAATGCCATTCAAAAGTTATTTTTTTTAAGCTTAAATAATATTAAGATATCTAATTTGTAAACTATATGCTTATACAGCTTCATTCATCTAATAATAGACCTACAGTACTAATAAAAATGATGTTGGACAAAGTTAATTCAAACATAATCGGTATTTTCATGATCTTTGGGTACCACAATATAAGAATCAGTTGAAAAAGGGCTAGGTGAAATATCCAATTTTGGCAAAAATGATTTTTTTTTCTGTTCTGAGTCACCGTCACCTACAGATTACAAAAATACAAACTAAGTTGGAAGTTCTCTTTTAAATTTTAAATAATGTTGATTGTAATAAATATTATCCAATTATTCCAGCGGAGTTTAAAGGCAGAATCCGTGGGGATGTAAACCTACAGAATTTTATGTATTTAGATGCTTAAACGATTACATTACTATTGATCTTTCAGAAAACTAAATATTTTTGTCTCGTTCTCCCAGCGAGACCCGGGACTGGGTACTTTCCATGCCAGCCCCACTCGGCGTTAGTGCTGTCTCTTATCCACATCTAGATGTGTATAAGAGACCGATGCAATGACGATGATTGTA